AGTTTCCGCTGTATATGATTCATTGCTCTCGTTAGGTACTGAAAAGGACATTACAAACGCTTTGATAATATACTTAGTTCTTTCCAAAGTCGACCCAGCCACAAAATCGAAATGGAATGATAACATGGATTATTCCACGCTTCCCTCATGGGATACTTGCTCAAAACTTTTGATTCGTCGCTGTCAGTCACTTGAGGTGAATGAGGATCGGGCAAGTAAGAATGATTCTGCTACCGTACAGTCGACCACTCGTCCACATTCGAGTAAACCCAATAAATTTAATAACAAATATGAACATAAGGCTTCTTTTACTGTAGCAAATGCAAATAATGATAACCAATGCACCTTTTGTAAACAAATCAGTCATTCTATATACACCTGTAATGCGTTCGCTGCTCTGCCAGTCGCCAACCGTTTCGATTTTGTCAAGAAGGGTGGGTACTGCATTAATTGCCTGAAAAGTGGGCATTCAGTCCGCAATTGTAATCGGTCTCAATGCCGAATTTGTCGTCGTTCTCATCATTCACTACTGCACAGATATAAAGTTCAAGCAAATAATTGTAGCAATACCACTTTGTCGTTGATTCCTTCCAATCCTGCAGCTGCTGCTGCTTCTGCCGCTGTACAAGAATCAAATCAAAGCTCTTCGCATCATGTTTCGAGTACCAATGACGTCGTAGTGCTGGCTACCGCTATGGTTAAAATAAAAGATCGTTTTGGGAAGACTTTAACCGTACGAGCACTTTTAGACTCCGGCTCCCAAGTTAATTTTATAAGTGAGGAATGTGCGCATAACTTGCAATTAAAGCGGCAATATAAAGATTTAAGTTTATCAGGAATTGGAGAAATAAATGCAAATTTAAAGCACAAGGTTGCAGCCACGGTAAAGTCCAGAGTTACTGATTTCGAGTTTCAAGCAGAATTTTGGGTGATAAAATCGATATCTGGCTATCAACCAGAAGTAAACTTGCCCGTAGAATCGTGGAAAATCCCGGAGAATATTGAGTTGGCTGATACTGACTTTAACAAACGGCAAAAAATTGACCTTTTAATTGGAGCTGACATATTTTTTGAACTCTTGTGTGTAGGTCAAATAAAATTGAATGAATCGCTGCCAACATTGCAAAAAACATTGCTTGGTTGGATTGTATCTGGTCGGTACAAATCGGTTGAAAGCTGTGAAAATAGATCTTGCAATTTGGTAAATACGAGCAGTGAATCACAATTGGCCTCTCTTGATGCGTTCGTCCGAAAATTTTGGGAAATCGAAGAAGGCCCAATGAGGTTAAAAAACCTATAAAAAAAAACATAATAAATGTGAAGAACACCTTATAGCAAACACAAAACTTTTGCCATCTGGTCGGTTTGAGGTTCGTCTCCCATTCAAGATGAGTCCATTTTCGCTCGGCTCATCATATGAAACCGCAAAGCGAAGATTTTTGTCGCTTGAACGTAGGCTTTTTAAAACCCCCGAAATTCGAGATATGTACAATCAGTTTATGACAGACTATTTGACACTTGGCCATATATCAAAAACAGACAATTGTATACCCACTGGTCCACATTATTTTATACCGCATCAAGTTGTCGTGCGGCCAGACAGTTTGACAACTAAGTTAAGGGTGGTGTTTGATGCTTCGTGCAAGACCTCTTCGAATATTTCGTTGAACGTTATGGTCGGTCCCACAATTCAACCAGAGCTTTATACGACTCTGCTAAAATTTTCGTTGCCGTAAGTTCGCCATTACTGTGGATATTAGCACAATGTACCGACAGATACTAATTCATGAAGCAGGCCGAAATTTTCAGCTCGTTTTGTGGAGGAAAAACCCGAATATGCCTATAAGTATTTATAGATTGAAAACGGTAACATATGGTACTTCGCCAGAACGGTATTTAGCAATTCGATGTTTGAACGAACTTAGCAATCAGAATCGAGACAAAATGCCTGTCGGTTCGGCGGTAATCCAGCAACACTTTTATGTGAACGATTTATTGTCAGGCGCTGATACACTAGAGGAGCTGGAAATAATCAAAGGCCAAGTTGTAAAAATTCTCGAGTCAGGTGGTTTCAAATTAGCAAAGTGGTATTCGAACAATAATTTCTTGAAAGATAGCCACAATATGGAAAAGCCGTTAACATTTAACGACACTGAAACCACTAAAAGTTGGGTATTTTCTGGCATCCAAAAAGCGATGAGCTCCATTTTAATCTGGTGGACAAGTTTGATGATTTGAAGGCAACGAAGCGGAATATTTTGTCGGTGTCCTACCGCTTGTTCGACCCACTTGGTCTTTTATGTCCAGTCATTACAAAGGCAAAATTACTGTTGCAAGACCTTTGGTTGCATAAGTTGGACTGGGACGAGTCTGTGCCCTTTGCAGTGGCTACAAGTTGGGAGAGCTTTAAGGAAAATTTTCGAAAATTTCCAGATATAAAGATTCCACGTTACGTGAACATATCGTCAAGATCAAAAATTCAAGTTCACGGGATTGCTGATGCCTCGATGCGTGCTTACGGCTGTTACATTTACATTCGCAGCAAATGCCATAATCAATACAAAACGATCCTTTATATAGTCAAATCGAAAGTTGCTCCACTTAAGACTAAAACCCTTCCCAGACTCGAATTGTGTGCCGCCACTTACTTGCAAAATTGTGGCAAGTTATCGCTCAAAATCTATTACCATACACTGAAAAGGTCATGTTTTGGAGCGACTCAGAGATTGTATTATATTGGCTCAAAAAACACCCTTCATTGCTATCAACCTTTGTTGGAAACAGGGTTGCCGATATTCAGGAATGGTCGAATGAAGCAATTTGGCGTCATGTTCCCACTGCCCACAATCCAGCAGATATCGTTTCACGTAGTTGTAACGTGGATGAGTTACGTCAGTCAATGTGGTTCGATGGTCCAAGCTTTTTAGCTAAAGACGAGGAAAATTGGCCAGTAAACAAACATCTAGAGCCACCAGAAAATCTCAAGTTCTCAGAAATTCGTAAATCGAAGGTGGTCGCGCTGGCTGTCGAAAGAGAGCTCAGCATTATTAGGAAAGTCGTGGATAATTGCTCCACATATTCAAAAATTTTACGAATTTTTGCTTGTGTTTATCGCTTTATTAAGCCAACCATAGATAGAAATACACAGCCTCAAATTACTGCGAAGGAGATCGAATTAGCATTTTTAAAAATTGTTGAAACCATACAGCACGAAGAATATGCTGACGTTATAAACTGTGTCCAAAATTCATTGCCGGTTAATAAGCAGATACAAAGGCTTAACCCGTTCTCGCACGAATATGAAGAAAGTGGTAGACAATTTCTGCTGTTACGGGTAGGTGGCCGATTAACAAACGCTCCTCTGCCGTATAATACAAAGCATTCATTACTGATGCCAAAAACTCGATTTGTAGCATTATATGCCACTTATTTACATGTGACTAATTGCCATGCTGGGCCAAGAGTTCTGGTCGGATTAATGCGTTTAAAACTTTGGTCGATAAACGCAAGAGAAGTACCTCGAAAGGTGGTATATAGTTGCACCCATTGCTTTAGGTACAAGCCAAAGTTGCTGACCCAAATTATGGGAAATTTGCCTAAGGACCGACTATTATCTGTAAGACCGTTCTTAATATCCGGCATTGATTTTTGTGGCCCAATATATACATCGTATAGAATTCGTGGCAAGCCTCCCTACAAAACTTATGTAGCTGTGTTTGTTTGTTTTTCGTCCAAAGCTGTCCACATAGAAGCGGTTTCTGATCTGTCCACTAATTCTTTTATTTCTTGCTTCAAAAGGTTCATCGGGAGGAGAGGACTACCGGAGAAGGTCGTGTGCGACAACGCCACAAATTTCGTCGAAGCCGAAGCCAAGTTGGGGGAGCTACACGAGATGTTCTTCACCGAAGCGAAGCGAAGGCAAATACTGGACTTCGCCGCGGACCACCTGACTCGAGAATTTTTACAACTTGGCCTTTGATTATTTCCAGCTCCTCTAGTGTATCAGCGCCTGACAATAAATCGTCCACATAAAAGTGTTGCTGGATTACCGCCGAACCGACAGGCATTTTGTCTCGATTCTGATTGCTAAGTTCGTTCAAACATCGAATTGCTAAATATGGTGCTGGCGAAGTACCATATGTTACCGTGTTCAATCTATAAATACTTATAGGCATATTCGGGTTTTTCCTCCACAAAACGAGCTAAAAATTTCGGCNATATGTTACCGTGTTCAATCTATAAATACTTATAGGCATATTCGGGTTTTTCCTCCACAAAACGAGCTGAAAATTTCGGTCTGCTTCATGAATTAGTACCTGTCGGTACATTTTGCTAATATCCGCAGTAATGGCGAACTTACGGCAACGAAAATTTAGCAGAGTCGTATAAAGCTCTGGTTGAATTGTGGGACCGACCATTAACGTTTCGTTCAACGAAATATTCGAAGAGGTCTTGCACGAAGCATCAAACACCACCCTTAACTTAGTTGTCAAACTGTCTGGCCGCACGACAACTTAATGCGGTATAAAATAATGTGGACCAGTGGGTATACAATTGTCTGTTTTTGATATATGGCCAAGTGTCAAATAGTCTGTCATAAACTGATTGTACATATCTCGAATTTCGGGGGTTTTAAAAAGCCTACGTTCAAGCGACAAAAATCTTCGCTTTGCGGTTTCATATGATGAGCCGAGCGAAAATGGACTCATCTTGAATGGGAGACGAACCTCAAACCGACCAGATGGCAAAAGTTTTGTGTTTGCTATAAAGTGTTCTTCACATTTATTATGTTCTTTTGATAGGTTTTTTAACCTCATTGGGCCTTCTTCGATTTCCCAAAGTTTTCGGACGAACGCATCAAGAGAGGCCAATTGTGATTCACTGCTCGTATTTCCTAAATTGCAAGATCTATTTTCACAGCTTTCAACCGATTTGTACCGACCAGATACAATCCAACCAAGCAATGTTTTTTGCAATGTTGGCAGCGATTCATTCAATTTTTATTTTAAACACAAGAGTTCAAAAAATATGTCAGCTCCAATTAAAAGGTCAATTTTTAGCCGTTTGTTAAAGTCAGTATCAGCCAACTCAATATTCTCCGGGATTTGCCACGTTTCTACGGGCAAGTTTACTTCTGGTTGATAGCCAGATATCGATTTTATCACCCAAAATTCTGCTTGAAACTCGAAATCAGTAACTCTGGACTTTACCGTGGCTGCAACCTTGTGCTTTAAATTTGCATTTATTTCTCCAATTCCTGATAAACTTAAATCTTTATATTGCCGCTTTAATTGCAAGTTATGCGCACATTCCTCACTTATAAAATTAACTTGGGAGCCGGAGTCTAAAAGTGCTCGTACGGTTAAAGTCTTCCCAAAACGATCTTTTATTTTAACCATAGCGGTAGCCAGCACTACGACGTCATTGGTACTCGAAACATGATGCGAAGAGCTTTGATTTGATTCTTGTACAGCGGCAGAAGCAGCAGCAGCTGCAGGATTGGAAGGAATCAACGACAAAGTGGTATTGCTACAATTATTTGCTTGAACTTTATATCTGTGCAGTAGTGAATGATGAGAACGACGACAAATTCGGCATTGAGACCGATTACAATTGCGGACTGAATGCCCACTTTTCAGGCAATTAATGCAGTACCCACCCTTCTTGACAAAATCGAATCGGTTGGCGACTGGCAGAGCAGCGAACGCATTACAGGTGTATATAGAATGACTGATTTGTGTACAAAAGGTGCATTGGTTATCATTATTTGCATTTGCTACAGTAAAAGAAGCCTTATGTTCATTTTTGTTGTTATTAAATTTATTGGGTTTACTCGAATGTGGACGAGTGGTCGACTGTACGGTAGCAGAATCATTCTTACTTGCCCGATCCTCATTCACCTCAAGTGACTGACAGCGACGAATCAAAAGTTTTGAGCAAGTATCCCATGAGGGAAGCGTGGAATAATCCATGTTATCATTCCATTTCGATTTTGTGGCTGGGTCGACTTTGGAAAGAACTAAGTATATTATCAAAGCGTTTGTAATGTCCTTTTCAGTACCTAACGAGAGCAATGAATCATATACAGCGGAAACTGTATCAACCGCGTTGCGTAAAGCCGATGGATTGGGTTTGGTAATTTTGGGTATTTCAAACAATCGCTCCACATTGTCAAAAAATATTAGCGCTTTCTTGTCATAGCGTTCAGCTAACCTATCTAGTACTTTCGAATAGTTGTCCTCCGTAACTTGAAACGCTTTTACGGTTCTTAATGCATCGCCAGATAAGCAGCTCAATAAGTGGTTAAACTTCTCAATAACAGCCAAGTGTGGGACTGAGTTCACTAAGTTATTGAAGGAACTTATAAAATTCTTATAATCCGCATATTTGCCATCAAACGTCGGTAGTCTTAATTTTGGTAAGCGAGAGGATTGTGGCATGGCAAAACTGAACGTATTTTCCATTAAGGAGCTATCACGCTGTTTATAATCACCCAACAGTTGCATCAGCTTTGATTTACAACTAATACAAAGCTCCTCTATATCTCCTCTTTTGTCATCACTAGGGTCCTCTTTTTCTATTTCCGTTTGGAATGCCATAATCTGTTTTATATATGAATTTAAAATTTCTAGTCGGCATTCTGAATCTATGGCATTCCAAGAAGCAGTAGAACTCTCTAGCCTATTCTTTATTCGTGTGATATTTCGACGCGCTATTGATCTTTGTTGCTTTAAAGTGGCTACCTTTGAGCTAGGAGCAACTGTAGCACCCTCAGTTGGATTTGTGGGCATTTTATCCCTATTTTCTTTTTGTTAATCAAAATATTCAATTGTACCACAAAATTTTGCCTCGAATGAACGCCAACATGCATTCAAAGGGAAATGAACGAACGAGTAATACAGTCAAATCTGATTACTCAACATAGCAATGCACTTGCACCTTCTTTCTATTTTGATCGCACTCCAGCGACAACTTATCTACTTAAAATTTCATCAATTTTGAACTTAAGTCAGAATCTTTAACTGAGCTGGATTAAACTTCAGAAAATAAACAAGGGGTCTTTCGGGTAATCGGCAAAAAAATCCTTTGCAATTTATTAAATTTTTACACACATGGTCACTTTAACGACAATAGTTACTTTAGAAAATTGCTTGTATGGTATAATGCACTCTTATACGACGGAACTCCGCAACTCAAGAAAGATCGCTCACAGAGTCAAACTCAGCACTCATTAGTATCCAAAGCTTTAGCATAAGAATTTTATATATGCATGTATGTAACTACACTCAAAAGCCACTCAATTTGTAATTAGTTATGCTATAATTCGAGCTATCATATGTATGTGCATTCGCAGCTAGCAGAACAAACAACAACCAAACTTCTGCTGACGCCTACACAATTCCCAATACGCTATTATTTAGAGTGAAATTATTAACATCAACTTAAGAGCAAACTGTTTACCGTACATATGTATGTATAAGCGCAGCATAAACGAGAATCTCAACTATGGCATGCAGTCAAGGTGAAAAGAGCTAATGACGAAAATGGTTAAGGACTAACTATAATATGAATAAGCAGCCGTAACTGACTGTCAGAAAATGAACGAAAAGTATAAATAAAAAATTACCAATTTCGGAAAAAAATAGCAATGCGGCAACACTGCATGTGTTACATATGTACATACATACGTACGAGCATGATTCAATAATAGGTTCATTCCTTATCTTTTTGGACTAAAATCTGAAAAGTGTCAAAATGCCAGAGCGTAAGCAAAATGCGCTCACTAAAAGAGAATAACAGGAAAAGTAAAGGAACGCAAAAAACCAAATTTTTAGTCCAAAGAATGGCAACAACAAAACTAACGTCAAATAAGAACAGAAATGTATGTACAAAACACATTCACACAAGCACAAGCACAATAAACACTTGCTATATCAATTATTTTTTGCCTTCTTCCAATTTTNTATTCTTTAATTTCCGTTAATTTAAATTCAGTTGAGTTTGACACTTTTCAGGATTTTGCCAGAAAAAATTCTTCTGACTAAATCTGACTACTTCGGACTGATGAGAGTCACTCTCACTGACTGTTGCTCTCTCATTTTTGCTGTCATTTCCGAGTTAAGGAACGCTTTTTGGACTAAATCTGACTACTTCGGACTTTTTCTGACTATTTCTGGGAGATAAGGAACGCTCCTATTACAAGGTTGGATAAATATTGACATTTGTGTCAATCGACTGCCTTGTAGGGTTGCATTTGAGAAGGAAAGAGAAGAGGGTAACAATTTTATCTCCTTTTGTGGAAAGGTAGTGGGAAAAGTAAGTAGGTTTGAAGTATGCTTCATGAACGAAAGACACAAGATCACGCGGGAAGGAAAAAACGAAAAAAGTTATTTTCTAGCTGCCGAAATCTCGACGCCATCTTTGATGTAAGAAGTAAACAACGAAGAGAACGGAGAAAACCGCGAAATTGTTGAACGCATGAAAAATCATTTTTATTATGCAAATTCTTCTAAAAATCATGCCGTTGTGTTAAATTATTCTTTACCTTATGTGTGCACACATTGTCACAAGCGAAAATTAAGAAAATTGCAGTAAAAAGCCACCATCAAATTGTAAACAACGAACAAATGTAAACAAACGGCTTATGTCAAAATCGCCCTACTTTTTTCATAAGTGCGATTATAACGGGCCACTCTTCTGCTGTCGTGATCTTGTCTTTTTGGTTCATGGTATGCTTGACATGAACAAAAGACACAAAATCAACAAAAGACAAAATCGCCCTACTTTTTTCATAAGTGCGATTATAACGGGCCACTCTTCTGCTGTCGTGATCTTGTCTTTTTGGTTCATGTATGCTTGACAAGCTGCTGGTGTGGTTTATTTCGCTCTTTAGTTCTTGCCCACTGTTTTTGTGTTAGAAGGTGTTTGGAGACGGGTGGCGGGGCACTTGACACCCCACACACTAATAAGAGCAGAGTTCAAACTTTGTAAATAGTCGTACCTTTTCCTTCGGAGCCTTCCACATACTCTGGGGAACTACATATATGAAAATGGGGTAAAATTATCATTTTGACAAGGAAAATGTTAACTCCGGCCACGACATCCAAAACGTGCATATTCCAAACCAAATTTACTAATAAATTCATGCTCAGAAATTTTAAAGTGTGGTTTTAGAATAATGTTTAGATCCTTGACTACATGTGTACCTATGTAATTTTTTTTGTAGATCGGGTCTCCCATTTGGACCCAAAGACCCGAAATCATTGGGCCAATAATTAAATCGTACCCTGAAATAGTTATATATGTACATTAGGGTGGTAAAAAATGAATGTGAAAAAATCAAAGTCCGGGTTTTAATACTCACCACCACGAATTGCCCTATACCGAAAAAATATTTATACCCAAGTTTTTGTTTATTATTTTCAAATCAAAAATATTTAGAGTCGCTCAAAGGCATTATTATTGGAAGTCTCGTGAAGAGAAACAGACTTTTCCGATCGAATAATATTGATTGTAAAGAATTCTATACCATTTCTACGAAAATGGTTTTTCCCACATAAAATACACACACGGAAAACTTTGAGCGCTTAGAGCGACCTCTAAATATTTTTTGATTTCAAAATAAAAAATAAAAATTGCTATATTTCACTTTTTCTGAACCACCCTACCCCTAATGCATACATGCTCGTACATATCGCACACCATCTTCAAAATAGGCACAACTCAAATACATATTAGAACCGAGATTATAACTGCTTGTGTATCGTACAGATTCAGCGCAATTGATTCAAAAAAGGTATGAGTCAGAATTCGTGAAATCGATCAGTAAAAATTAAAGTTTTCGATTTTTAATTTTAATATGCTGGATGTGTAATTCAAGAGCATGGAATGGGACTTCCATCGATCGATTTCACGAATTATAGCTCGTTTAAGAGTATCTTTCTAGTTTTAGAGAAATTTTTTATTAGGTGTTTCGTACAATCCTATCTTGGAATGGCGCCCCCATAAACATATACAAAAGAAATTGAGGGTTCCGAGAGATCCGATATTTAAACCTCAGTATAAGTACTTATAATAAAGGAACGTCTGTGGAGGCTGCCGTGAGAGAGAGTTTCGGGTGTATTAAAGGACGTGGCGCTTATGGCAAAAGCAGTGGCGGATTTACCGTAAAGGCAACATAGGCAGGTGCCTAGGGCGGCAAAATTTGAGTTGAAATATTTTTTTTTGAAATTTGTACATTAGGGTGGCCCAAAAATGCATGTGAAAAAGTACAGTCGGAATTTTTATGCCCTCACCCCACGGATTGTTCTACATAAAATAAATATACGCTTATTTTTAGATATTTTGAAATCCAAAAATATCTAGAGGTCGCTCAAGCGCTCAAAGTTGTCGATGTAATTTATACGAAAGAAACACTTTTTGTAGAAATGGTATAGAATTCTTGAAAATCAGTATTGTTCGATATTGTTACTCTTCACGAGATTCCCAATAATAATACCCAATTATTGATTTAACCAGTTTTTCAAAGTAACTATATTTTATAAGTCCGCCAAAACCGCCAGAAAATGCCAAGATTTTCAATGGGGTNAAATAAATATACGCTTATTTTTAGATATTTTGAAATCCAAAAATATCTAGAGGTCGCTCAAGCGCTCAAAGTTGTCGATGTAATTTATACGAAAGAAACACTTTTTGTAGAAATGGTATAGAATTCTTGAAAATCAGTATTGTTCGATATTGTTACTCTTCACGAGATTCCCAATAATAATACCCAATTATTTATTTAACCAGTTTTTCAAAGTAACTATATTTTATAAGTCCGCCAAAACCGCCAGAAAATGCCAAGATTTTCAATGGGGTTTGTTTTTCTCCATATAAAATACATGGGAAACTTTGACCGCTTTGAGCGTACCTCAAAATATTTTTTGACTTCAAAATAAAAAAATAGGGTTATATTTTTTTGATATAGAACAATCCTAGGGGGTGAGAGCATTAATATTCCGACTTTACTTATTTTGGGCCACCTTAATGTATATTCTTGTTCGCTTTCCATTTCAATATTGAATATGTGCTCCGTTCAAATAAATTCGATAGCTGTATTTAGGAAGCCTTCGGGCTCTGCTAACTTCAGCACTACGTACTAAAGTATATTTTACGCATTTTCAACAAAAAAAATCAGGCAAATGAAAAGTGGCTGCGCAGCTTTTTTCATGCACTTCAATATTTTCCACAACTTTCCAACTGTTAGTTGTACGTATGCAATACTGTTCCGAAAAACTTCTTCTTTGTTTCTAGTTTCAGCCATCAACCCATTCCAACGTACCTATATATATTAACAGTCGACAACGGGAAGGAAGTAGTTTTTTTAAGTCCTTTTTTTGGTAGCCAAAGGCCATCGAATGGAATGAGAAAAACTTTTCCAAAAACCATTTCAAATGCAAATATGTAATAAGTAAGGATGTTCTTTGCACACATATGCCTATACATAAGTACAAGTGTGTATATACAAATATGTACATGGGTATGTTTTACTAACTAGTATGTATGTATATGCCAACTTAGAGTAAGGGTGTATGTACAACATTGAGGATAGGTCTATCTAAGGATAAGCAAATAATTTCAATTTACATAAAGCGCTTCAAAATTAACCAGCTTTAAAAAGTATGCCAGATTAGAACCATGCACACATTTGGGTCGAAAACTTCCGACGACATAGGAGCAGACATCTACTACACCAGAGCTAGGATATTGGTGCCAATGGCGAAATACCCGGACATACTCCAGGCAGACG